GTAAGTTCTTCTGTTTCCTATTTCAGTTTATGAATAAATAATCTTCTTAAATCCACTGGGAAGCTTTGAGAATGGTGACTGGAAGGAGACAAAACTCAGAGGATAAAAGATCACAGTGTGATGTATGTAATATGACAAATGTGTCTGGGGTTATCAAAATGAAACCTGCAGGATATCACCAAGGGATGCCATCTGGTACAAGCAAGAGAAGCCACGAGATGGCAAATTTGATGAGACAACATTAAAAAGACAAAAAGTATTATCTCCCATGGAAGCATAGAAAAGGTGGATGAGTTGCTCCACCAATTCATTCCAATTAGAAGGAAATAAACATTGAAGAGTAGAATAATCCCTAGGCAGGAAAAGCCAATTTAGAACACTTTCAAATTAAGTTGTGCAAGTGAGGTGATTGTACTTTCTATACATTACAAAGAAGGTAATTTGACTCTGAATTATTGTATAGATAAAAATATCGAAGGGAGGGTGATTGGGAGAAAACATCTGATCACACACCCAGGAGCTCAAGTCTTGGGAAGGAAGGAGAGGCCTGGAATTTAAATCAACCTGTCCCTGTGTAAAATAATGCAGAATAAGCATGTTTTGCAACAGAAGTAAGAAAAATAAAATCCAGAGAAAGACAATGTATGGAACAGGTGGCCAAAGGTTCAAACAGTACATATGAAGGCCCAGTCAAGAAGAGAAACCAGACAATGAGGTTGACTGATTAGGAACACCCTGAAAGGAGCCATAAAAATATAGAAAGAAAAGAAGATTGACAGGGAAAATAATAAAAGTCACCAACAAAGCCACTATATAGCCAGAATCAAAGACTACTCTCTAAAAGCCACATAGAAAAGGGAAAAGACAAATAATATGGAGGGAGAGGTGGATGAATCACCATTGGTAAACTATTCACTTGAGCTGAAAAACCGCAAGAGTGGATGACTTACAATAATAAGAAAGAAAACAGGACATTCTGCAAAAGAATCTACCCATATTGCAAGGAACCAGACAAAATCCATTTGTGAAGATGAAGGTGTGGCATGTTTTGGTGAAAGAAGTACGTCCATCTCAGGCAATACAATTGATCTGCCACTAAGTTTACGGGTCTATAACTGGCAGGCTGGGAACTGGATGTTCTGGTGTGGGTCTACAAGAGGAGCTCTAGAGCTAAAAAGCAAAAGTCCTGAGAGTGAGCACCACCTTGTCAACTGACAGAAGAAATGACAGTGGCGTTTTCTGAATGGAACATAAAAAGACAGACGTGACAGTTAAAGGCCAATTTAACTGCCAAGATCTTGTTTTGAGAATGTTGACGTGCAGACTTCTACTCTGGAGATCAAACACTAAAAGTGGCGAAGGTATCCAGAACCACACCTCACTCAAACAAAGGTGGTCAAACAAGTGCAATTAGGAAGAGGTGAAGGAAGAGGGATACGTAGACCAAGCTACCATGATATCAAGAGATAAAAAGATGGAGGGGATAAAATTAGAGAAGTGAGTGATCTCTGAACATATTCCACTGAAGGGGTTGGAAATTGGCACATTCAGAGAAATAAGGGACTCTAGAGGAAACTGCTTCAAAAAGAGATAGAAATTCTCACATAGAAAGGGAAGAAACTAGAAGTTCTGTATTGGAGACATAAAGAAGTATGCTGAACTCATCCAACAAGAGATGATAATGACTCCAACAATTAATCAGATACTAAGTGAGACTAGTTTTACCAGGCAGCCCAAATGAGCAGACTCCCGATGAAACAGAGGATGCCTTACAGGATTGGGGTTAGGAGGAGCCAATCATCCATACATTAGTGGAAATTAAACCCCAACAAGTGCATACTCCATGCAAAAGCCCTCAGAACATGTTTGAAAACAGAGGCTTTAGCCTTGAAAGATAGAGAAAGCCTCTGGGAGAGAGCATTGTATGACCCAGGGAATTTATATAAAGTGATTACAGTTGTACATAGTGTAAGAGCCTAACTCTCATAAGACCAAAGCCAAGGGGACTTTTTGTATGAACTAGATTGGGTGAGCTATTAGCAGATCTTCTGTTATCCTAAATTGTTGTGTTTGTAGAACATAATTCGTTTGGTCTAGATTAGGTGAACTATTAGCAGGACTTCTGTTATCCTGATTTTTATGTTAGTAGAAATACATTATTGGTGTTGACTAGACTAGGTGAATTATTAATACATCTTCTGTTGTTGTGTTAATAGTCAAGCATTGTTGGTTTGGTCTAGATTAGGTGAACTATTAGTTCTTCTGTTATTCTGAGTTGTTTTAACAGACATTGTTCATTTGGACTATAGTAGTCAAACTATTAGCATATGTTCTCTTATCGTGATTGTTTTTTAGTGGTGGAACTTTGTTGGTTTGGGCTGGACTAGATGAACTATTAGCTGATTTTTCATTATCCTGAGACATTGTTGTGTGAACTATCAGCAAACATTCTGTTATCCTTAATTATTGTGTTCACAGTGTAATATTGTTGATTTGAACTGGGCCACTAGAACCTTGAGCAGATGTTTACTGAGCTGTATATAACAACAAATGGTATAATCATTCAAATATATTTGATGCTAAGAACATTAAAATAATTATTCGTAGAATTAAGAGGTAAACACGAATAAAATTACATAAAATAGTAATAACAACAAAAGTTCAGAAAATTATCATCACTTTGATGTTTAATATTAACACACTTATAAAAAAATATATATACACAGACATACTTAATCTTCATAATGTATAAAACACATACAAGAAGGAAAAATGTTTATTAGAATTATAAGAATCACAAGTTAACATTTAATATTTTATGTACTCTGTACATTCATAATTCAAACTTTTGTGTTTCGTTTTTCTGACATTCTTCTTAACTATGTCATACCTTCATTCGTTGATCTTATTCTAAACAAGAACTAATCTATTTGAAAGTCCAAGCAACAGATTCTAACTGCCTATACTTTTACACACTATTGCTTGCATTTTTTCCCCCATGCTACAGATATGCTTAATTATCTTCTCTATTACTAATAATGTGTTTTGAGAAAGGAACTCTAAAAATTATCTGTAACAAACATTACACCTATAAAAATTATAATCACATGGTTTATCTGTATTCTGGATCTTCCCGAGTATTTTTAATTAACATACACTGCACAACTGCAATTTCTCCTTATGATATACCCTACTCTTACATTTTTAAATAAAATGAATATCAAACAAGTATGTATTTCTTAAGCACAGTTTGCCTGATTTTGTTAGTACAATCTGATCTGTAAATGTAAGGTGACCTAAAATTCTGTATGTCCTCAATACTTGAATCATACCCATCCATAGTTCTGCACTCTCTTTGTAACTTATGTGCCTGCAGTAAGGGGTATCTGAAGTCCAAAGGTAGATTTATTTTGCATTCATGATGTGAGAGCTAACAGTTTTTAACTGAAAATGTATGCCAGTAAGAAATGTCTCCACAGAACTGAAAGCTATTACCTTGTGTATTTGCTGCAAAGATTTTTTTGAATGCCACAAGTCTTGAACAAAGCTCCTACCCTTACATGTATTACTCCAGTCTATGATGTAATCATCATTAGACTATAGCCATCCACCAATAGGATAGCAATACATACTCCATTCAAGTGAACCCAATGAACACTAGAATTTCAACAAAAGCTCATTTCTCTATCTATAAATTTGGTCTGATATGTCTAGATACATAGCCCGAGGTCATTAATGTAATGATGAAATTAAAGAGGATGTAGAGAAAGCCATACTTTGTGTTAAAACAATGGGAAAAGTACTGTCAAAGAAATGTTATCACAGACACTAAAATACATGACCAAAATTACTAACTCAATTAAAAAGAAAAATTCAAATTTAAGATAATTCAAATCATAGTTCTAACCAAAACAATCACAATTTGGTATCTTTATCGTTCTCATAATCAAGAATCAAAGGGAATCAAGACACCAAACTACAAATGGTAAATGAATGTTTAAAATAATAAGTGTAAAAATTACATTAATTTTTATGAAATAACATATTCAAACAAAGCAGAAAGAGAATGAGCCTTTATTGAAATGCTAATGCTCATGAAGTTTACTGTGCACTGAAGATGTGTCACCCTCTTACTGGTGGAGAGTTATAGCCTACTGACGACTACATTATAGACTGGTAGAGGGTTATAGCCTACTGATGATTACACCGTAGACTGGCACATTCCACACTAACATATGTACGAATAGGGGTTTTGTTCATTGATTATGGCATGCACGAAAACCTTCTTGGCAGATGCATGGGGTAATAGCTGTTTGTTCTGTGGATGGGTGAGTAGTGTTTCTGAACTTCAAATCTCATGATTCTGTGGATGGGGGTGATTTTCAGGGTAAGTACTTTCTTTCAAATTTATTTAAATCTTAAAACTTTAAAATACAAAGCATTCGGACATAACACTGAAATACAGTTAGCAAGAAAATCAAATGATGGCTAGTAGGGTTGACAATTAGAAATAAAATGAAGAATACAGATCCAACAACAGAACAAAGCTGAGCCTACATTTGTATTATATTGAATTGCATCAAGGTCATTTAGATCAACTGATGGAGCAAGTTTTACTCAACAAGAAAAGGCTAACTATTTCAGATGTCGGTTTCACTATTTAGGCTTCCAAACTATTTTTGTGCCACACTTACAGCTCTAGTCTCTCACTAATATGTGTTTTTTCATGTTTACTTAATCTAATATTACTTAAAAATTCTTTTTTACATATTACACAACTGTATCATTTTTCTCCAGTGTATATTTTTCCATGATCTAACTAAATATTCCTTTGAAATTTCTTGCCACACTACACAACTTTATGATTTTTACATAATGTGTATACTCTCATGTTTTTTTAGGTAACATTTACTTATAAAATCCTTGCCACACAATACACAACTGTATGGTGTCTCCCCAGTGTGTGATTTTTGATGTATTTTTAGATTACCATTTGTTACAAATTCTTTTCCACAGATTTCACAACCATATGGTTTTCCCCAGTGTGTAATTTTTTATGTGTTTTTAGGTTACTATTTATTCCAAATTCTTTTCCACAGGTTTCACAACTGTATGGTTTCTCACCAGTATGAACTCTCTGATGTCTTCTTAGTTGACCGCTTCTTCCAAATTGTTTACCACACAATACACAACTGTAAGGTTTCTCACCAGTGTGTATCCTCTCGTGTGTTGCCAGTTGACCACTTCTTCCAAATTGTTTACCACACAATACACAGCTGTATGGTTTCTCTCCAGAGTGTATCCTCTCATGTATTTTTATGTAACTTCTACTTCCATAATATTTGCCACAAACTACACAGCTGTATGGTTTTTCACCAGTATGTATAATATTATGCTTTTTCATGTCACTATTTGTTATAAATTCCTTGCCACACACTACACAACTGTAAGGTTTCTCCCCAGTGTGTATCCTCTGATGTATTTTTAGGTTAAAACTTCTTACAAATTCTTTGCCACAGATTGCACAATTGTATGGTTTCTCCTCAATATAAGGTATCTCATACTGTTTGAGATTATTTCCTCTTGAAGTATTTTTCCCAAAGATGTCACTAGTTTTTGGCTTCTGAGATTTCCTGATTTCTGAATGAGAATCTTCTTGTGTTAAAACACAAAAACCTTGAAACTGATTTCCACCACAGCTTTTCTTGTCAGTCTTTTCATCTAAAAATCAGATTATGGATGTAATAAATGAAATAACAAAAATCGTCCATTTTTCAACATCATTATACTTGTGTAATTAAAATAAATAAATGCATACAATTAATATGTTTGTTATCTAAGATATACAAAATGCAAAGATGAAAATATGACTTAGGTACCAGACACATAGGTCTTATGTTGTTGAGTCTACACAGTTATCTTTAATATTTTGAAATGATACCTTAAAGTTTTTGTTTTAATAAAAACAAACACAATTTGTCATAATAAAACCTTTAACACTAACATTTTATAGAAACTAGAATGCTAATAGATACAGGTAAATTGTTCATTCTATTATCCAGTGTTTTATATAACAAGTTTTGATAAGTAATAAAAAAATCTGAATAAATTAATCATGAAAGCCCCTAGAACTCACCATTTCCATAAACAGTGTTCATATTTTACAAATTAAAATGAGTTACTGCTATAAAACAAACACAATTAAGATACAAGAAAACCTAACTTATTAAGAATGTATCATATCAATTTCAACTGACACTAACAACTAATTTCTAACATCAGATACTACATTTCAACTGACACTATCAACTAATTTCTAACATCAGATACTACATCCAACTGTTGTAAAATGTGTAAAACTCTTTAGTTGCAATGAAATGGTTCCTTGGAAGATAATCTGGAAAACTAAGTGAAGATTCCTTCTCACCAAGCAATTAATAATATTTCCATTTAAGTGCTTCATATTAAAAATTCTATAGTCAAATTACATAATTTTATATCTAAAGTTCTTGCCACCCTTTCACAAATGGTTAGTTTATTTTCACATCAGTTTTGTAAACATGGCTTATTTTAAAACTATTTCTACAAACATCATAACTATATGGTTTCTGTACATTACACATCCTCTAATACTGTTTCCAAACATGTTTTTGTACACTACACTGGTATAAGATTATCTCCATAAACACCTGGTTTCTATACACTAAATATCCTCTTAATATTTTTTGAAATGTATTTGTACACTACACTGGTATAAGATTATCTCCATAAACACCTGGTTTCTATACACTAAATATCCTCTTAATATTTTTTGAAATGTATTTGTACACTACACTGGTATAATATTATCTCCACTGTTTCAGAAAGCTGATGTATCTGTAAGTGAAAACTGTGTGTGCATGTGTGACTTTCTTGCCATACAATCTGCATATCATGCATCATTTCTTCCCGATGCAAATCAACAGGTGTTTTCATGTTACCATGACTTCCAAGTTCACTACAACATACAACTCAAGATAATGTTCCTTTAGAATGTTGGAATGTGACTAAATAATCTATGTTTAACATATATACTGTTTATAAATTGTCTGTTACAGATATTAAAATTGTTTTTCCACATTGTGATACAGATGCTAAAGCTGTATTGTTTTTCCTCATTATGATACAGGTACTACAATGGTATTGTTTCTCACTCACTCTGATACAGATGTTACAACTGTATTGTTTCTCACTCTCTCTGATAGATGCTACAACTATATTGTTTTTCTTTACTATGATACAGATACTACAACTGTTATTTTTTTTTTTTTTTACTCACTGACGAGTGCTATCAACAGTGTAAAGATTGGTTCAGTGATAGAATCTTTGTTTAATGATGAGCAGCTTAAAAAAAAAAAAGAGTTCTGTTTAGGATTATTTTGAACAATGAACATAAACTTAATTAGCTTCTCCAGGATACTGGATCACAGAACAAAGACTTACAACTAACTGTTCGTAACTTCAAGAATTTTTTGTGGAAGTATATTTGTCAAGGTTTGCCCATCCTAATTGCCACTTTCCCAAAAACCAATGTTAAGCTAAAATGACAAATATAAAACCAATATTACAAGATTTCTGGGTAAATCCATTTATGAAGCATTAAAGGATTTCTACATTGCTAATGGCTGTGCTAGACATATTCTCTAGTCATGCAAATTAGGGTATAAGTGCCATTTTGCACATTTCATGAGAGCATTGATCAAAACCAAAATAATGGTTGACTTGCATGATGTAAGACACATTTAAAAGCCTGGAATATTTTCCACTCATTCGTTGTTGGAGCTGACAGAATACTGACAAATCAAAAGGTACTTTACAATATCTTTGTTGGTAGTTCTAGTAAGCCTAAACATAATTAGTTTACAGTGTCTTTGATGGTAGTTCTAGTAGGCTTAAAGATAATTTACAGTGTCTTTGTTGATAGTTCTAGTAGGCCTAAAGATATCTTGCAGTATCTTTGTTGGTAGTTCTAATGGGACTAAAGATATTTTACAGTGTTTGTTAGTAGTCATAGTAGGCCTAGAGATACTTCACAGTGTCTTTATTGGTAATTCTAGTAGGCCTAAAGATTTCAGAAACTAGTGTTGATTCTTCTGGTAATGACTGCATATCTCAGCTTGAATTGAAATATGCAAAGTTTGAGCCAAAAAGAAATGTTAAATATATTTTCAATTCATTTAATATATGTTCAAAAAGTGAAGTTTCATCATGTACAACTTTTTAAATTTTTACATTCATGACAATGCCTTTTAATTCTGTGACAGTTGCATTTTATTTAGCAGTGTTAATCAGTAGATCATATTTACAAGGCATAGAACTGACAAGTGTATATTCCTTTCCACAGTTTTCAGAAAGGATAAATATTTTTTAAGAGTTTGAGAAGGTTTTCTCTTTTGTATAAAATATATCTTTTCTTTTGTTCTTCTCTTTCATATTTTCTTGAACAATATACAAGTACATTAAGACAAAAATATTAGTTTTATTTGAACATACAAACAAACTTTAGATCAAAGAGAACCTCTGATTCCATTTTAGATCAACTTCAAATGCTCCAGCTTCCAATCAAAGACCCCCACTTATTATTTACCCCAACATGGAGCACCACCAACTTGAGGAGTCACCTTGTGCCCCTTGCACGGTTGAAATTTCTGCAGTCACCTATGACAATAATGATATTGGTGAAAGATGTCACACACAAAAAAAAAAGTTGCTGTCACCAGTAAAATTAACTTCTGTTTATCTCTCTATCATTTTTGAAATGAAAATCTAAACCATTATTGTAGTATAAATTAAACAAATTTCAATACCATCATAGTATGAATATTCTATCAGTCTCAGACAACGAAGTGTATAATGTGTGTTCTCACAAGCAAGTTGCAGTATTCATTTTCTGAAATAACTACATTGTTTCTCACTAGTATAGGCCATCTGAGGCATTTTTGATCAATATAATCCAATCAATCAGGTACTATGTTTCCCTCATCATATAATAGAAAACTCCTACTGTGGCACTCCCCACTTCCCACCCAATCACAGAAATATCATGAAATTAATAAAATATTGAGCCATATATCTTTAAATTAATTCCATAGCAATAAAGAAAGTCCATTAATATTTGAAGAATTACTAAAATTTAAGTAAACTAAAAACTCATTCAACCAGTCTTAATGAATTTTGTATTTCTTTGAAGAAATTCGTACTTACCGGATGTATCTTCTAACCCAGGGTCAATTTGTTGCAAATCTTCTTGATATTCATTTTCCTTCTTCACATTCATGACAATGTATTTTACACTACTGAGATCATTATCATCATTATCACTGTCACTGAACTTTGAAATAACCCCTGCTTGTTGTAAGGCATCAGGTTCAGTTTTCTCTCTGACAAGTGTGGTCTAAAATATAATGATCAATAGAAAATAAACACACTAAAGCAGACAAATGCATACAAAGTCTCCACAGTTTACTAATTCTATATAAATAAAAATGTAAATGTTCGTTTGTTTAAAATCTTAAATCTCCGAAAGTTCTTCACCGATCGCTTTGAAATTTTGACACAACGTTGCATTCAAATACACGCATTTTTATATACCTACTATTATATAAATGTCACACCTGTGATAGGTAAAAACAGGCTTTTTGAAAAACAGCGCCATCTGTTGGACGTAAAAGCAACACACGCTATACTAATTATTTTACAATTCCATTTCAATGCTTCCAATTTACGATCCATTTACGATTCCATTTCAATGTTTCCGATTGCATTGTTAAATTGAATTTTCATAGATTTCGATTTATTTTCATTTTGATTTAATTATTTCATGTGACATTGTTATTTGAATTGAGCTTTGTCGTTTACCATACCGTTCATTTCGTGAGTACAGTTTATTTTTTTATTGTTTTTCATTTTTTCAGTGCAATTGGTGGTGGAATTGAGCTGTGTCGATTGATCTGCTTTTGAATTGAAATATTT